AAGTGGGACCAGAGTTGGTCCAATGTGGGATGGGCTGGCGATTTGAAAATTGCTGCACGTAGAGGGAAAGGCCGGAAGCATAGTCAAAGGAGAGCGGAGGTCAGACAAATCGAAAGAGTCAGTCGAAACCCTGGTACCTGAAGCGGGTGAGGAAACAGCACCAGCAAGAGGGACAGGGGCCTTAGGAGTGTCCGAAGAGTGGTCTAAAAATGAGGCAGGGTCAGAATGGGGTGTGGTATCAAGAAGGGGCCTGGGGGTAGTAGGTTCATGGACTGGGTTCTCCATGGTTAGGGTACTCCTTTTCTTTTTGTTTTTAAGAAAAAAAAATAAAAAAATAAAAAAAAGAATAAAAAAAGGGGGGACTGGGGAAGGATAGCTCCTAGGAGGAATGAAAGGGCCAGAAATCTCCCTCCATGCCCAAGAGGACCTCAGCACCGCAAGTAGTGCAAATGCAGCATGAAACCCGTGCCATACCATACCCTTCATGCCAGTAAACCAGCAATCCGGGATAGCAACCTCACATCTGCCGAGCTACCTCGGTGGACAAAAGAGAGGGCAGCCGGATATCCACCACAAAGCATACCTCCTTCAGCCACCACCCCCGGAATCTGAAAGGTGGCCTCCAGAGATACACCCGTCGCCCGAAAGACACCCAAAGCCACCCTCCGGGATACCGGAGAGGGATCGGGACACCTACAGGCGATCCAGATTCCACGGCAAACTACGCCACCGCCAAAAACCTCAATGGAATGGGATGGACCCCAGTACCCTTTCCCCTACCTAGGAACTAGTGCACCTGTGGGAAAAATTCCAACGGCCAAAAAGAGGAAGGGCAAAAGGGAGAGGTAGGGAGGAGGAGGAGGAAAGGAAAAAGGGGAGGATGGGATAGGGAAGGGGGGATTGGGGGGTAATTAGGTTCGGTCTGAGGAAGGAGACCGACAGGTCTAATTCCTCAGACCAAGAGCCTCTTCACTATGCCAAGGAGCCCTCCTTGAAGAGGTCGGCACCACAGACTGGGCATTTGGCTATAGAGCTGCAATATTTCGCTGGGTGACCAAATCGCCAGTAATTTCTACACTGTTGCGGTGTAAGGATCACCTTTCGAACTTGTAACCGATGTCCTGCTACATAAACAGAGGACGGGAGTTCACGGCTGTCAAAAGTTAATCGAGCCACATTGCAAGGGTATCATCTCTGCCAGCGGGCAGGAAGGACATAAGTGTCTACCTTGAGGATTGGGAGATCTTGGAGTTCCAGCTGTTCAAGAATGTCATTGCCACATGGCTGAAAATTCTGTTGGACTATGTATGGGGCAGAATGACAGTACCACTACAAGATTTGAGGGAATGATGTTTTTCGATAGTGACAGGAATAGTATCGATATGTGAAAGAAGAGAAAGATCATGAGCTTGGGTAGCATTCTGAACAGTGATGATGCGCATACCACTCTTCAGAGCATGGAAGGAAATATCTCTACCAACATGGTGGAGGAGTGCCTTGCCAATACTATAGTTGGAAAGACAGGCAGCAGAAGTCGGTCGTAAAGTAAAGAATTTAGTCCGTTGTGCATTCCAAAACTGAGCATGGAAAGGGAGTGCTTGATGTGTTGATCTTTTCTGAGAAGAACGTGGTGGTGGTGAAGCATCATCATCAGGCAATTGTCATTAGCGTTTAGGAGTGGGACCAGAGTTGGTCTGACGTGAAATGGGCTGGCGATTTGAAAATTGCCGCACTGTAGAGGAAGAGGCCGGAAGCATAGTCAAAGGAGAGCAGAGGTCAGACAAATCGAAGGAGTCAGTCGAAACCTTGGTACCTGAAGCGGGTGAGGAAACAGCACCAGCAAGAGGTACAGGGGTATCAGGAGTGTCCGAAGAGTGGTCAAAAAACGAGGCAGGGTCAGAACGGGGTGGGGTAACAAGAAGGGGCCCGGGGGTAGTAGGTTCATGGACTGGGTTCTCCATGGTTAGGTTACTTCTTTTCTTTTTGTTTTTAAGAAAAAAAAAGAAAGAAAATAAAAATAAAAAAAAAGAATAAAAAAGGGGGGAGCGGGGAGGAATAGTTCCCAGGAGGAATGAAAGGGCTGGAAATCTCCCTCCATGCCCAAGAGGACCTCAGCACCGCAAGTAGTGCAGATGCAGCATGAAACCCGTGGCATACCCTACCCTTCATGCCAGTAAACCAGCAATCCGGGATAGCAACCTCACATCTGCCGAGCTACCTCGGTGGACAAAAGAGAGGGCGGCCGGATATCCGCCACAAAGCATAAGTCTTTCGGCCACCACCCCCGGAATCTGAAAGGTGGCTTCCAGAGATGCACCCATCGCTTGAAAGACACCCAAAGCCACCCTCCAAAATACCGGAGAGGGATCGGGACATCCCCAGGTGATCCAGATTCCACGGCAAACTTCTCCACCGCCAAGAACCTCAATGGAATGGGATGGACCCCGGTACCCTTTCCCCTACCTGGGAACTAGCGCGCCTGTGGGAAAAATCCCAAAGGCCAAAAAGAGGAAGGGCAAAAGGGAGGGGTGGGGAGGAGGAAAGGAAAAAGGAGAGGATGGAATAGGGAAGGGGGGATTGGGGGTTAATTAGGTTCGGTCTGAGGAAGGAGACCGACAGGTCTAATTCCTCAGACCAAGAGCCTCTTCATTATGCCAAGGAGCCCCCCTTGAAGAGGAAAAGACCTTGAAATTGAGTAAACAAATGACGTCATTGGCCAATAAGTGTCCAATTAGCCATTCTAATACACAGTCATGAATGGATTAACATTATTTATACAATTATTACAATAATGCAGTAGTCTGCATAACAGTAAATCTTCTATTTTTTTGTGTGAATAAAAATTAAAAATAGAAAGCAAGAGTAAAATAAGAGGGGCCTGGAGGCATGACTGTATTGTTCGTCTGGACCCTAATTTGAAATTGGCATCTTTTTTAATTTGCATGAAATTGGCCAAACTGCCAATTTCTGACCACTTTATTAGGTAGTTGAAATTGGTAAATGGGCAATTTCTTGTACTCAGTAGATAGAACAAATGGAGTTCTAAATAAATAGTTATGAGTTTGGTCGACTGGAACAATGGAACTGGCCGAAAATAGGGCTCAAAGTGGGCAAAATCGCTGATGCGTAAACATCATCAAGATCGCTAACTTTGTGAGAGCGTAATTCCATAAGTTTTCCATCAAATTTCATACTTTTGGTGTCATTAACATCAGGAATAGATTCTCTATCATTTCATAAGAAAAAATAATTTTATTTTTCTGAAAATTTTGCAACAGAGAGACACTTTATGATTTGGGGTTGTGACAGTCAAAGGGTTAATACCCCCCATCAATAGGTCACATGACACATCCCTAGATGCTCTAGTTTCCTTCTGGCAGCGATAGACCACCAAAGAACTAGATTTTGAAGGAACATTACAGATGGAGAGTGAACATTTTTTTTTCCTTTAGACAAGGAGCAAATTTCTACAAAAGAGCTAATATTCCCACTATTTAGGTCAAAAGAAAAACAAAGGATAGCATCATTCTGTCGTTCTGAAGAAAGGGAGAACGGCTTCATTTCTTCAATTCAAGAGTCCTTCACCTTTGTCAAAGAAGCCCTTTAAGGGAAATAATTTGAAAAGCAAATTATAATTATAGTCTACTTAAGGTGGAACTTTCAAAAAGCAAATGTATTACAAAAAGTATGGTAGAAAAGCAAATGTTTCATATATAATCAAACACTGTCAGAAATATTATATTACAAAAAAGCATTATTACTAATGAGAATCAGCTGCACATAATTCATAAATCATTCTAAACTACAACCTAGAGAGCAACCAAGTTTCCATGGGTTAACAGTTGGGCAAATGCCACAGTGCACATTTTAAAATATATACAGTAAGGCCCCGCTTTACGGCATTTCGCCTTACGGCGTTCCGCTAATATGGCGATGTCAAATTATGACCAAAATTTGCTATACGGCAAGCAGTCTTTCAAATATGGCGCCCCCACCCGGTTTGTTTACATTTTCTGTGACCTCATCTATTATGTCAGGAAACTTTCCAAAATCTCAAGTGTTTTAAAGTTACTGCATATTTTATATGTACTCTGATAATTATACTTAAGTGTACCTGTACCTAAATATACTTACACACTGTGCTGGTGTGCAGGTACACATTAAAATCGCTAAGCCTCTCTCTACTCATGACGCCAATACTACATAATAATAATCACTCTTGGGCACACTAAATGTCTTATTTTACATCAATATAGGCATTTTCATTAATCCATCATTGATATTTTCCTCAAAATTATATATGAAACCCATTACATAGCATATAAACATGATACATACACTCACAGAATAAAAATTAATGTAAATATGAGATTTGTTTACAAAGCAGCTGTGTAGGTAGCGTCGGAAGAATTACGTTTTCTCTAGTCAAACTGGGGGATACCTGTAGAAAAATATTCTTTTCGTATGCCTTTACTCTATATATAGCAATTTACGACCCTTGTGGGTTTAGTGCTTTTTATAATAAATAATAATAATAATAATAATAATATTATTATTATTATTATTATTATTATTATTATTATTATTATTATTATAATTATCTTCATTCACTCTAAATATGGTGTGTTGCTGTTTGTTTATTCTGAACTAACTTGTACACAATGTAAGAGTATTTGTATTGTGAGGTAATTATATATAAATAAAAAAATATTGAAAGGTAATGTTTACAAACTTTTACTAATGGACGTGAATGAACTAAAAGTAACACATATTAACCTTGATGTCGCGGCCAATATATCGGTCTTACGAAAGTACCGGTTTGACGTACAGGTGGTCCACTCGTTTTTTCGTAATTAAATCCTTCCTGGAGGAGCTACTATAAACAAATTTACCGATTTGCGATATAATTTTCCCATAAGAAATAATGTAAATTTCAATTAATCCGTTCTAGACACTCAGAAGTCATTAAAACAAAAAAAAAATTTTTAACATTGAAATATACATGTAGTACATAAACAGTACAATGGGAAATGATGAATGAAACATTAACAGCATAACACTTACCTTTATTGGAGATTCTTCTTAGTGTATGGGAGACTGGAGGAGGAGAGAGATTGGATTGTTTACAGTTTGGAAGGGGAATCCCCTTCCAGCAACACCTCAGGTACCAATTGCTTCTCTGGGGTTGCTTCTCTTCTCTGTTTCTTAATGCCACAAGGACCACCTTGAGAGTCACTCTAGTCTTGTCTTGCAAAGTAACTGTGGAGAGAGCTCTGTTTCTGGCGTCTCTTTAACACTTCCCTAAAATGGTACAAGACTATGTCACTGTACATATTTCTCACCTTCTTTACCACAGGCTTGGCACTAGGAGCTTTCTTTGGAGCCATGGTAGCTTATTTAGTACTTGCAAGCACTAAAATGAGTGGAATATTATGAAATATTTCGTAGGAGCACTTGAGGGGACCTTCACTCACTGGTAAACAATGCCACACTGGCTGGGTAGGGAGGCCTCCTCAGCTCACACGGTGCGTAAGCGTCCTGGACGAACTACTATTCGCGAGTCAACCTATGAAAAGCGAGTCCATGTTTATACGAAAATACCCCTATGATTGGCGAAATTTACGATTGCCGAGAACTACGAAAAGCGAGGGACCACTGTATATATACTCATAAATTCTAGCGGCTTCAAATCAAGCAGGAGAAAGCTGGTAAGCCCACATGTGAGAGAATGGGTCTGTGTGGTCAGTGTGCACCATATAAAAAAAATCCTAGAGCACGCAGTGCATAATGAGAAAAAAAAAAACTCCGACCGTTTTTTTTAATTAAAATGCCGACTTTGTGGTCTATTTTCGTATAGTATTTATAGCTGTATTCTCGTTTTCTTGGTCTCCTTTGATAGAATGGAAAACATATTATAGAAATAGAGGTGATTTTGATTGATTTTACTATAAAAAGAACCTAGAAATGGAGCTCAAAGTAGGGGAAATGTTTGACTTTGTTCAAAAGTAAACAAATGATGCCATTGTCCAATAAATGTCCAACTAGCCATTCTAATATGCACCCATGAATGGGTTGATGTTATTTATACAATTATTACAGTATTGCAGTAGTCTGCATAATAGTAAGTCTTCTATTTTTTGTTTGAATAAAAATTCAAAATAGAAAGCAAGAGTAATATCAGAGGGGCCTGGAGACATGACTGATGAGCAAACAAAATGTTATTTTAGAGCCAGGAATGTCTGCATTGTTCATTCTGGACCTTATTTTGAAATTGTCATATTTTTTAGTTTTCGTGAAATTGGCCAAATTGCAAATTTCTGACCACATTATTAGGTAGTTGAAATCGGTAAATAGGCAGTTTCTTGTACTCAATCGATAGAAAAAATGTAGTTCTAAAGAAATAGCTATGAGTTTGGGCGACTGGAACAATGGAATTAGCCGAAAATAGGGCACAAAGTGGGCAAAATCGCCGATTTGTAAACAGCGCCGAGGTCGCTAACTTCGCGAGAGCATAATTCCGTCAGTTTTCCATCAAATTTCGTTTTTTTTGGTGTCATTACAATCGGGAAAAGATTCTCTATCATTTCATAAGAAAAAATATTTTTTTTTTTTTTTTTAAATTTTGCGACACCAGGAGACACCTCAGGATTGGGGGTTGCGGCAGTCAAAGGGTTAATACGCATTTATTTCGCCTGACCAAGTGATCGTCCACTACCTGTTCAGTTTGTGTTCTTACATTGTCTCAACTCTGTATCTCGTTCTCTCTCTCATTTACTCTTTCGTTAACTAGTTGGCTCTCACTGACGATGGCGTCTAAGGTTAGCTGTGATAAAAAGAGAAGTCATAAGCTTCTTGCTTTGAGTGCCAAGTTAGAGGATGATGGTGTGCCATTCTGATTTTATTCAATAAACACCCAGCCACTCACCTCTCACACATTAATATTAATATTTTAAGGTAAGTAATAAGTGTACTCTTTGTGTATCTTAACTTTTATTGAGTTTTTAATGCCTATTTCTATTGCTAACTTAATATAAGTTAGTGTAAACTTGTTGTCTGGCATTTATTGCATATTTTATGAGTGCTCTGATAATAATATTTGTGGACCTGTGTGGTAGCTGGGTGGAGGGACAACATTACGTTTTCTCTGCTCAGCCATCAGAGAAAACGTTTATGAATCTGCGTTTGGCCCAGCCACTCCCTCACTCCGCTTTTGTTTACAATTTTCGGCATGAATTATTCATTACTTCTACCTTCATTTATGATGGCATCTAAAGGTAGTTGTTAGAAATGATTAAATTCAGTGAACAAGGTATGTCGATGTTAATAATATGGCTCTGGGCCACAGTGTAGGTAGCCGGTAGGTGTAGCCCAGGCGGGCTACACCTACCAGCTACCTACACTGACTTCCTACAAATAAATACTACTCACCTCTCTTCCTATATTAAGACTACACATATTTTAAGGTAAATAATGAGTGTACTGTATGTGTATTTTACCTCTCTGGGATGTTTTAAATATCGTATATTAAGTATGAGACGGGGAGTCAGGGCTACCTACACCTGGGCTACCTGCACCTGACTTCCTACAAATAAGTACTACTCACTTCTCTCCCTACATTAAGATTACAAATACTTTAAGATAAGTAATGAATTTACTGTGAATGTATTTTACTTTGTGTGTTTTTAATGCCTGGTTCTATTACTAACTTAATATAATTTAGTGTAAACTTGTTGTCTGGTATTTATATGCATTTATAAATGGAAAAAATTGGCATTCTGCCTTCCGGTGATGTCTGCTTTCCAGTGACAGCCTGGAACCTAACCCGCCGTATAAGATGGGCCCTACTGTATACATATTCTTAATCAAAACCAAGAAATCAGTCAAAAATAGTCTGAAAGCAACAAGGTTCCACAAGACACAGCCCACAAAACAGGATCCAAAATTTGTCTCAAGCCACAACCCATAAATAAGCAAATAACTACAAGATTTAAGAACATGAGAAAAATCATACAAATGACAAGCCATGATACAATACTTATTCCAAGTCACCAGCTATAAATAAGTCAAGAATACATTTAATGGAGAGGAAGGTCCCAAAACATGGAATGCAAAATTTGCTCAGTGTCAAAAGACACAAATTACTCAGAACTATGGAAACGAAAGTGCACTTAATTGCTGAGGCACATTACTAATGGAGATGCAATCCAGTTTGATCTCATTCCACCTTCAGTGACTGAATTGTTTGTAGAGTTATCATCAGTCATTACATGTAGTGTTCCTTTATCAGGCTACATAACTCATGAGCTATTAGCTAAGGTTTCTATCGTTTACAAACTTGTTTTACTTGCTGGGTGGTTTTTTCAAGAAAATTATTAAGCATGAATCTTCATGTGTTTTGCTAAATGAGATTTTTGTTTAAAGTCTTTCAGACATACTGAGCAATGATGTGGTTTTTCACCTGTATGAACTCTCATGTGTGTGTTTAATTGGCATTTTTGCTTAAAGACCTTAAGACATTCTGAACACTGATATGGTGCTTCTCCTGTATGAACTCTCAGGTGACTTACTAAACAAGACTTGAGTAAAAAGTTTTTTGGACACTCTGTACACTGATATGGTTTCTCTCCAGTATGAATTTTCATGTGTTTTGATAGAGATGATCTATCGGAAAAAGCTTTTGAACATGTAGAACACTGGTATGGTTTCTCTCCTGTATGAATTCTCATATGTGTTACTACACAAGATTTTACTGAGAAGTATTTCAGACACACTGCACATTGATGTGGTTTCTCTCCTGTATGAACTTTACTATGTCCTAATAAATGAGATTTTTGATTAAAGTACTTCAGACATACTGAACACTGGTATGGTTTCTCTCCTGTATGAATTCTCAAGTGTTTCTTTAGCGGGGATTTATCTGAGAAACCTTTTAGACACACTGAACAGTGGAATGGTTTTTCCCCTGTATGAATTCTCATGTGTGATACTAAATTGGACTTGGCTGAGAAGCTTTTAAGACATTCCAAACACTGAAATGGTTTCTCTCCTGTATGAGTTCTTGTATGTCTTATTAAATGAAACTTTCCTGGAAAGTCTTTTAGACACACTGAGCATTGATATGGTTTTTCTCCAGTATGAATTTTTATGTGATTTAAGAGAGATGATCTATCAGAAAATCTTTTAAGACATTCCAAACACTGATATGGCTTTTCTCCTGTATGGCTTCTTAAATGTTTTACTAGAGATGAACTATGTGAAAAAGCTTTTAGACACACTGAACACCGATTTGATTTATCACGTTTATGAATTTTCTTGTGTGCTAGTAAAAAAGATTTTTTGGGAAAGTTCTTTAAACACACTGAACATTTATATAATTTATCTGTTTTATGAAATCTTATTTGTATTGCTTCAGTATATTCCTTATTAAGTTTTTCAGACATATTGCAATCTGACACGATTCTTCTACCATATAAATATTCGTATGTTTTCCTGGATTATATTTTTATACATTTTTTAACAAGGTACACCAATATATATCAGTATATATTAAGTTTATATGAACACTAATGTTTTCAAATTTTATAACAATGACAATTTTCTTTTGAATGAAAGGGTGTTTTTCAGAACTGGAATTCAATTAATGCCTCAAAATCCATAAGATACACTTCAAAAACACTGTGAGAGTAATCGAAATACCAATTTCATCTACACATGATATATATTATGCAGAAATAATTATCTTAAATAGACTTAACAATGAATAATTATATACTTTCTTTTATATATTTAAAAAATAATTCTATACATAACCTCAAGAGCTCAAAATCCTCAAATGTTTTCTATGAACTGCTATACTCTGCAAAGATTAAATTGTTATGAAAGTTATTTAAGAGCACTGGACATTGACATTATGTTTATTTAACCTAAATGATAACTAACATTACAGTGTGAATGAACTTACATTATGACATGTAAACTGGCTTATCACAGTGAATATAAGTGTTTCGCACTTACTAGATCATGTAAACTGGCATTTCAGACTGAATATGAATGTGTTATACTCTTACTGCTGACCAGATGATGTAAACTGGTCTATCACAATGGTCTATCACAATGTGTTATGCACTAAGTGCTAAAGAGATTATGTTAATCTGCATATCACAATGCTCACTGAGTCATTAATTTCAGATGTTACGTTTTATGATTAAAGATACAGTAGCGAGTGTGATAAATATGATTATTCCTTGAAGACTCAACCTTTACAAAGTGTGAAACACAAACTACAGTTTATAACAGCTACACACTGCAAGATATACCTTTAAACTTTAACAATAAAAGAAGAGTATACCCTTTAACAGTTATTATACAGGACTTCAATTTTAACTAATCAGGAAAGATGATAGCACATTAAGTCAAAGAAATTGTTGGACATTTTATTATTAAACTGTATTTGGATGAATATTAAGTATCAGACATATACTGACTGAAAAATATTGTTTTTAAAAGGTAAGAATATCCTATGAATAAAAAATTTGCATAATCAAAATTGACATACAGGAGTGCAGTAAAACTACCTTTGATATACCTTTGATGAGTTCAGAAAGTTTTTCTACTCCCAGGCCTGGTCTTGGGCCAGACACTCTGGCTGAGAATGGGACACAAGGACTGAATGAAGAAATAATTTTACAAAATGTGGAAAGAAGAGGGATGATATATACCTATACACTGAATCTAGTTTTTAATTTGGATGACTATTTACCTGACAATGTAAAGCACACAGTTAATAGCTTGCAATTATACTACTGAACAAAGTTAATTAACTAATAAGATCTCGATAACTCCAACAGTTATACATATTTAACACTGATGATGGCCCAGAACAGACTGAAACATCATCTCTCTCATCTCTAATGTTGTGACTTGCTTCATCCAAGGACATGTTAGTTTTCATCATTCATGCATATTACATAATTAGATAATACATACAACAGTGGAGTTAACAAATATTTCCTGAACTTTAAATTAGATATTCACACATTTTCTTTGAAGAGTGATTTTTTTAAGCACATGTCAACACAACATGTGCATGTGGTAAGTGAACAAACTTTTAATACAATGAGACAATGCAGCACAAATATATCCAAATGAATTTGCATATACAGGATGTCAAGAGTGGGTATGTAGTAGATAGCATGTTTAGGGAGGCTCTTAAGATAGTGTACTGATACTATATAAAAACCTGACACTTAAATGATGTATGACTTCCAAAGTTGATAATTCACATACAAAGTATTTCTCTCACTTGGTGGCTTTGCTGATGCTGGTTTGCTGCAACTCTTCCACTGCTGACACTGGTATGCTGTAACTCTTCTACTGTTGACAATATATAGCATTTCTGTCACTATGATGAGCTTAATAGTACTGGGTATTTCTTACACCTACAGTACTTTGTGACATACTACTGCAAGTCCTGGTAACAGTACTGAGCACTGACACAGTACTGGGTGTTAACATGGTACTGGACACTCAAATATTGTCACTGGTAAAAGTACTAGGTGCCAACACATTACTTGAGGCTGACACAACATGAGGTGGTATTACTGACACTTCGTGTACCTCATGACACTTCGTGTACCTCATGAGCTGTAAAAGAAAAGATGATTAGCAATGTGTTTGAGCAATTGTCATTACTCAAATTTTCTAGTTCATTATGAAGCATCTTCCATAAAACTCTTAGTTATACAAAGATTTTTATGTAATATATGAACAACCACCTGCCCTGTAATTACAGAATTCAGTTTTCCCTGAATTGCCATGCATATGATTGTGTATGCTTTAACCCCTTCAGAGTCCAAGGCCAAAATCTGAAGTGGTGCTCCAGTGTCCAAGAAATTTAAAAAAAAAAAAAAAAAAAATATTTTTTCTTACAGAATTAAAGAGCATATTTTTGTGAAGGTAATAAGACAAAAAAAAAATTCTGATCAGTACTCACCGAGATACAGTGCCAAGAAGTTTGTCCAAAATGATGTGGTGGCGGCAACATCGACGAATTCCACATACGCGCATTACTTTATTTAGCGGTTTTTGTAGTTTTTTCTTTTCTTTTCCAATTTTTTTCTTTTCCTACTAACATTTGAGGCCTGAGAGACCAATACTGTATATAATGTATATATATAAACTCACTGTATTGAACACAATAACCGCACTAAAGTTATTATCATATTATTGTTTACCACTGTTGTTTATTACAATAAACATGCACAAATCTTGTATAATACTAATGTTCTATCATATATTTACAATCACTGGACATGGTTTTAGAACTGCTGGAGCTTGTGGAACTCCTTGAAACAAGGCACCATACACAGAGGCACCTTACATTCCTCAGACATAAACCGAGTGTCTTTGCGTCTTTATTGCCGTCGTTTTGTTTGTGCACAGACAATGCATCTCTTCTGAGCAAATTTCTTCTGAGTTGAAGGAAGCTGCATTATGAAATGATCACCTTCCCTCCTCAAACGCTTGGGTATATCCTGAGTAATTCAAGGACCTTGTTCTATAGCAGGTGTTCTTACCTGGTACTTCATTATGAGTTGTCTGACAACAGACAAACAAAATTCACCATACGGTGGTCTGTTGCCAGTCTTTGTTTGGTACATATTATATGCATTGAGCATTGAAATGTCCATGAGATGGAAGAAAAGTTTCACGTACCACTTGTAACTCTTACGAACACAATCAACAAAACCAATCTGCATGTCACATTTGTCAACCAAGCGCATGTTTTGTGTATAATCAATCACTGTCACTGGTTTTCGAATACGTTCATTAGTCACTCCATCAACTTTGCCACTGTCTTGCATTTCATTACGGTGAATGGTTGTCAACAATGTGACATCTCGTTTGTCATGCCACCGTAATGCCATGATGTCAGTGGCAGTAAACACCTGCACGTCATCACCACGAGCACCTGCGTTGAGCCTGGGGCATGTGTTTATGATTAGAACGCACTGTGCCACACACATCTGTCTTGTTCACTCGCATGAAATCACTGAGTAATGGGCTTGTGTACCAGTTATCGGTATATAATGCTATGCCCCTTACCAAGATAAGGTGCCATCATGTTTCTCACTACGTCACCTGAGATACCCAATAACATCTTGGTATCTTGCAATGTTTTACTTCCCGTGTATACAACAATATCCAACACCAGGCCACTGTCACAGTCACAGAGTACAAACAGTTTTATACCAAAGCGTTTCCTCTTGCTCGGTATATACTGCTTGAATGACAGTCTACCTTTGAACAAATCAAAGACTCGTCAATTACAAGATTCTTGAATGGATAAAAAATATATGCTGAACTTTTGTTTGAGATACATGAAAACATTTCTAATCTTGTATAACCTGTCACTTCTGTCAGGCCTGGTTTTGTCAGAGAAGTGCAACATACGTAACAGTAAGATAAACCTGTTCACTGGGATGATTTCACTGAAGACCGGGGTAGAAATTAGCCGATCTGTGGACCAGTATGCTTTTATATTATGCTTATAGACATGAGGCATAAACATTATTGTTGCAAAAAGCAAATACATTTATGCAACAGTCGTCTCTTTCCACCTGTGTAGTCTTGACTGTGGTGATATGATCGTATTTGCCATGGTGTACTCAAAATACTTATTACTTTCCCTGACAATAGTTTCCATCAATGGCTGGTCAAAGAATAATTCAAAGAATTCCAGTTCATTGGCCGTGGTTCCAAGGGGACAAGTAGGTAGAATTCCACTTTGAGAGTCATCAAAGTGGTGGGGCTTGGGAACAAAATTGGGATTTTGCTGCCAATCCCAGATACTGTTTGCTGGTGGATACTGGACATCATAGGCTGGTTGTGGTTGTGGTGGGCTGGTGGCTGACGCTCCGCTTTGTCCTTGAACTGAGTCAGCAGCGTGGGTCCCAGCCTGGGCTGGTGAGTCACGCATGGCGGTGCCACTACCATCACCACTACCACCATCTACTGATGCCTGTGGTCTATCCATGCCAAGTGTAGCCACATCATCTTCACTATCACTATCTAAACCTGTACTCCGTCCCCTGGGCACAGCATAGGGTACACTACCCGAGCGCATGCGGCGGCGCACATACCGACTCTTCACTGGTGAATATGATTCCTCACTATCACTACTCGAATGATCGTCAAGCGCAATAAAATCACAATCCACGTCACTATCATCATCATTACTGAAGTCAGAGGCCTGGCCACGCGAAAATATTAGTTTTCTCTTGCATTGAGGTACAACCGACCGTGAGTCACGAGTGCCCACACCAGAGGTAGAAGGTTGAGGTTCGTCAGGGTTTTCTGCACTATTATTGATATCCTAGTCATTCCTTTCGGTCACTAATTGATCAAAGCCATAGATTTTTTGTTTATGGCGCACACCCACCACGCAGACCAGTTCTCTCACATGTAGGCCTATGAGCGCTTTCGCGCTAAATTTGACGGCGCTAGAATTTTGGCGTAGATCAACGGTTTGGACACTCAACGTGAAGCCGTAGATCTATGGGACGGACCCTGAAAGGGTTAAATAGCAAGGCCTGCAAATGCACACACAAAAAATAAACATGTAACAGTACAAATTTTATGGTAAATAAATATGATTTTGCTCATAAACAATTTTTCTTTCTTGCTGCCTTAAATTATAAATTTACTCTGAATTTAAAATCAGCTCTAAATACTGTGTAACCTACTTTTAAATGAACCCCAAGTGTTAGCTTCTATGATGCTACTTAGAAGTTTATGATACTCAATAACTTTAATGTCAAACCAGTACAGGAGGGCCCTGCTTTACAGTGCTTCACTTTATGGCATTTCACTAATGCAATGGTTTTCTATTATACCCATTCTTCATTTATTCAGACACGCTACAATAAATATATTCACCACTCACTATAAGCTAAGAATGAAAATATTTTAAAGGTAATTACTGTGTGTACTGTATATGCATTTTTTTATACCCAGCTCTATTGCTCACTTAAGCCTAAAACGGTCCAAACGTATATGGATGTTCTCTCGTGTAGCGCCCCAAACGTATACAGTGGTCCCCCGGTATTCGATGGCATCGGTATCCGATAAATTCGGTATTCGATACATTTTAATGCAAAAACTTTGCCTCGCCACACGCGATTCATCTGCGACATGTCCACGTGTGGCCTGAACTGCCCCGTGCGTGCCAGTGTTTACAAGCCAGCCAGTGTGCTCGCATCTAAGGATATATTTGGTACATTCCATATTGTCACAGTGTTTTTGGTGCTTGTTTCTGCAAAATAAGTCACCATGGGCCCCAAGAAAGCTTCTAGTGCCAACCCTGTGGTAAAAAGGGTGAGAATTAGTATGGAAATTAAGAAAGATTTTGAAGGGTTTGGGGCTAACCTGAGAAGCCTATGCCAGCTGTGGAATCCATTGTGCCTACTTCAAAAATTAAGGAAACGTGTGCAAAGTGGGTTGAACTGCAAACCTTTATGGATGAAAATCACCCTAACACAGCTATTGCAAGCCGTGCTGGTGACTATTATAATGAAAATGTTGTGGCCCATTTTAGACAAATTGTAAAGGAACGGGAGGTACAGAGCTCTATGGACAGATTTGTTGTGCGACAGAGGTCCAGTGACTCTCAAGCTGGTCCTAGTGGCATTAAAAGAAGAAGGGAAGTAACCCCGGAAAAGGACTTGCTACCTCAAGTCCTAATGGAAGGGGATTCCCCTTCTAAACAATAAGTTCGACACTCACCCCTCCTCCCATCCCATCAATCATCACCAGATCTTCATTGAAGGTAAGTGTCATGTATTCTATTGTTAGTAGAGTACTACAAACTGTGCATGCCTTCTTCAGTTTGTGTGCATTAAACTTAATATTTCATGTGGTAAATTTTTTTTTTCATACTTTTGGGTGTCTTGCACGGATTAATTTGATTTCCATTATTTCTTATGGGGAAAATTAATTTGCTTTTCGATAATTTCAGTATTCAATGAGCTCTCAGGAACGGATTAATATCGAATACCGAGGGTCCACTGTATATACGTTTCCTTTGTCATTCATTCAACATTGGCACGATAGGCCTGAGTCGCCTAGACCTGAGTGAATGAGTGTGCGCACTCAGTGTGCACCATATGAAAAAAATTGGGGATGCCTGGGTACCACATGCTCTTTTTTCCTATAAAAAAAAAATTTCTCAAAATATTCGGGGCACTACGCGAGAGAATGTATATATACATTTGGACCATATAGCCCTTTGACTGTTGCAAGCCCCTTTCTGAAACTGTCATTCTATGTCGTAAAAGTTTTTGAAAAAAAAAATTATTTTTTCTTATGAAATGATAGAGAATCTTTTCCCAATGGTAATGACACGAAAAGTACGAAATTTGGTCAAAAACTCACGGAATTACGCTCCCGCGAAATTAGCGGTCTCTGCGACATATACACATCGGCGATTTCGCCGACTTTGAGCCCTGTTTTTGGCCAATTTCGTTGTTCCAGTTGACTAATCTCATAGCTATTTCTTTAGAACTCCATTTTTTCTATCAGTTGAGTACAAGAAACTGCCCATTTACCGATTTGAACTACCCAATAAAATGGTCAGTAATTGGCAA